CCCCTTCCTTTTCTGTTCCTCTTCCTCATCTTCCTCCTCCTCGACCGGCACCTCCTCCCCCTCCTCCCCCTCGCTCTCCTCTTCCTCTTCCTCGTCCTCATCTTCCTCCTCCTCGACCGGCACCTCCTCCTCCTCCTCCTCAACCTGCCGGTCGAGGTGTGAGCGAACAATCTTGAGCGCCTCTCGTCGCTGGCTGTTAGTCCCGGAAATCTGCCCAGCTTGTCAGAGGCGACACAAGACCCCAGCTAGTGTTCAGCTGAGAACTACCTGCAGGAAGGAGGTGTTGCCTTCCTCAATCAGCTGAAGCTTGGCTCCTGTGTCCTTCTCGATCTGACAAGAGCAGCGTCAGAGGAGGAGGAGGGAAGCTCACATCCAGGGGTGGGCTGGGGTCAAGAGGGTCCAACTGCGCCCAGGCGGAGGAGATGTGAAGAGGTTTTGAGCTGAAAAGAGGTCTTTTCGGAGATGGTAGCGAGGCAACTTTACCCGTGTCGTCCACTGAGTCTTGGGTCTTTTATGGATGTCAGCCGTTAGACTCGGTAGCCTACTTGTCAGTCAAAAATCAGAACGAGGTCAATCACAAGAGTCGATGACGTTGACATGCTGGGGCTAGTTGCGTGAGGTCATGCAGGAGTACTGGGCGAGAAGAGCATACCGTAAAATTCCCTTCTCAAGCACCTTGAGAGCAGGCAACACATAATCCATGTATTGAAGGAAGTGTTTGATATGAAATACTAATCCTTAGTGATTCGTATCTTTATTCTGCGTGATGCAACGGGCTGTCGCCAACTGGTGCAGTTTTGCACTGAGAAGGTGATTTATGTGTGCTGACTCACTTCTGGAGCAACCGGAAAGAAGTTCCGCAGATACCAAATGGTCTTGAGAAAGGATCTGCTACAAAGTGAACTGCACAAGGCTGTGGACGTGTTCACCGAAGTTGCAATCGATGGTCACAGGGGAAGGGGATTCAGATTCATCGTTCTTCTTGCATGGGGACAATGTTGTCTACACTGAAAGTGCTTCTCGTGGTCAAGAGGAGACACCACCAAATCATAAGAGCGACGACATTGCGGGGAGCGAAAACATTCGTAGCATGAAGCTTGCAAATTTGGCACTTTGCTAGTCAATAACGTGGAGGTAACTAGCGCAGCGCTACGATAACCTGGTGGCGGCCAGCTGCACCTTGATTGCCCGGCTGATCGTCTCAGCGGCCACTGAGCTGCCCCGGCGATTCACTTGTGATCGTTTCGAAAGCCTGCATTCTATTCGTACAGTGTCGATGAGCGCATGCAGCTACCGACGGTCCTGAGTCACGACCTGGAAACCCGGAAAGCCTCCGCAGACCTTCTTCTGCAGCAGCTTCATCAGCTGACTGAACTTCAAGGTTTGAGCGCGCAACTCATCAGGAGCATCAGCCAGGAGCCATGTGTAGAAGCTGTCATAGAATTCAGCGAAGAGGATCTTGACGGTCTCTAACTTTGGAGATTCTCCGAATTCAGCAATCATGTTAGACATCCTCCTCTTGACCTCGGGTTGATCGTACTTGTCAGCATGGTGACACAAGATATGCCCGTAGAAGGCCCTCACAAAGGTCCTGATGTAGCCGAGGATTCGCCTGTCCTGCAGCCTATTAACTTCCATAACCTTGACATGCATCAAGGGACGACAACCATTGTCTCCACAAAACCAAAGTTTCCATGCAATTTCACAGCTGGTGACTCGCTTCTCCAAGGGAAAGGTAGCTGGCACAGAAAACTCCACGGAGGGATTGAGCAGCACCTCGTCAATGCACGATGTCAAGGTTCTAAATCTCTCATAGGCAGGCAGTCCCGATGTGAGGTCCGGAGCACTCCGCACGTCAGCCTTTGTTTCTAGTGACGGCATACTAGCACGCTTTTCCATCAACTCGCTGACACACTCACTGTAAATATCCTTGAGAGTGCTCGCGCCCATCCTCTTGGAGCCTGCAGGGACCTGTTCCGGCTCTGAAACATTCTTGGCAGCAGAAGAAGAGCTGGGCGGTTGGCCACCAAGGCCCTTGGTATCCTTCATCAACTCAGTGTGGAAACGCTCTCTGTCCCCGATCAGCCTCTGATTGTACAGGAATTGAGTGACTGCTGGAGGGACCCCCGTGGCGACCATGAACATGGTTTCGTTCGGAAGGCAGCATATCACTCGAGACTTTAGGGCCTGCAGAACCTCCTCGTCCTCAAACAGCCTCGACTTCCAGAGAGGATGTTGAGGATCAAGTTTGGTCTTGAGGTAGTCTAGCTGGTAGACCACGGATGCCAGGCAGTGCTGTATCACCTTGCCTAATGCAGGTGAGCGCCGGGGGAACAACTTCTGAACCACCTGCTCCACTATCTCATCATTCTCCCGGAAGTGGGGAGGGAGGCGAGCAAACTCAGCTGTGTTGAGAGGCAACCCTACTGCTGTCCTTCCAACAAACGCATCGCCATTGTCTGGCTCATTCCATTCAGGGGTGGGCGCGGGCCGTCTAGAGTATGCATCGTCGGGAAGAGGGATATTCTGTGCTTCCCGGAAGTTGAAAGAAACGCAGTAGACTACAGCACCTTTCTGTATGCTGTCGCTGCCGAGAGTGCTAGTGCGGATGCCTTTCGCTTGCAGCTCCTTGGCTACTAGCTCCCTTGTCTTGGTGAGGTCAACAGTTTTGTGCCTCTCACTGTGCGATGAGCTCTGTCCTGCTGGCCTGAGAATGTCCCTCAAGATCCTCCAGAACTTCTTGTGCAAGGGAGGAGGAGGAAACAGCCTCTTGGCATCCTGCTCGATGCTGAGAAGGTAAATCCCCAGCGCCAAGATGGGACAGATCTCAGGCATCTTCGGGTTGGCAAAGACCCTCCTGAGTTTCTCGGGCTTCCGCGCGGGGTTGGTGATCCTCTTGTTGTCGAACATCACACACAGGTGGTCGTCCTTCCAGCTGAGATGCCCAAACTCGATGTTGTTGGAGTTCCTTGTGCGGCTCATCAGGTTCCAGCAGAGGATGAGGAAGACGCGGGCGGCGATGAAGTCCTTGGTGGGTATGCTCATCATCCCGTCGCCAATGATCTTGAAGACCGGGAATGGCAGTGGGTGTATGTCCTCGAACAGCTTGGACACGTTCACTCGCTCCTCTCTTGGGATGTCCGAGTCCGAGTCGTCAGCGTCTGACATGTTGTCAGACGAGTCCGAGTCCATGAACCAGCCCAGCAGCCCGGCAGCAGCGTTGGCGGTCTGGTTCGCTTCATCTTCTTCCATGTCACTGTCGACGTACTCTCCGACGTCCTCCTCCATCTCCTCCATCTCCTCCATCTCCTCCATCTCCGAGTCCCCGTCGTCCATGGCCTTGCGCTGCTGCTTCACTGGCTGCTTCAGCGGTGCAGGGCGGGTTGAGGGGGGATGTGGTAGCCAATTTGCAGGGCGGGCCCCTGGGGCGGGTCCGGCTTGAGAACATGGTCAATGGGGGGATGAGGTCTCGGAGCTAAAAGGGTCATGGAGGATGCGAAGCTTCGGCTTATGTTGGGGGCGCTGGCGCTGTTGCAGGCAATGCACAAACTCATGCTGCTCCTCCTCCTGATCATGCTGCTCCTCCTGCTCGTCCTCCTGCTCCTCCTGCTCCTCCTGCTCCTCCTGCTCCTTCTGATCATCCTGATCATCCTGTTACTTCTGCTCCTCCTGCTTCCTCCTTCCCTTTCTCTAATCTCATTCTATTCTACACTGCCCTTCCCTCCTTCCTGCTCCGTTGCTCCTCCCTTCTCCTTGGACTCTCCTTCTTTCCTATGCGAGTGACGTGATGCTCATCTCGTCTTTCTCATCCCGATGAACACGTCATGCACCTTGTCTGCATCTAGCCCATTCATATCCATCACTCGCCCCTCACCTTGCTTCTCTTTTGTTTGACGTAGTGACCCCTCTCTTCTCCGCTGCGTACATATCTGCTCACGCTCGTCCTGTCGCAGCTTATCTCTGTCTCCCTCAACTACTTCTCTGCCATCCTGTTCCTCATCCTCCCCTTCGCGCTCCTGGGCTTCCTCGTTGTTTTCATCGCCATCTACTTCAAGTGGAAGCGAGGCATCCAGGTCGACCTTTCACTTGCTCCCTGGTGGTCATGACATGAGTGAATGGCAGATCTTCATCGGCATCAGCCTTGTGCAGTTTGTAAGAGTTGTCTTTCTCTCCTTTCTCGTTCACATACCATCTCTCTTTCTTCCCCTCCCCCCCTTCACTATCCACCAACACTCATGTCCATCTGACTCCCCTCTTCCTCCTCTCTTCCTCCCCTTCCCCCTTCCCCCTCCACTTGCTCACTCTTCCTTGCCAGGTCTTGGCTCTAATACCTTTCGTGCACATCGTCTTTGTGCTCGAGCAAGGGTGGCTATACTGGCACCGAGTCCTCATCTTCCTCTTCGAGATGGTTCTGCACCTTACCGGCGTCCTGCTGGGGATACGCCTGCTGATGCCTGTGGAGGAGGTGAAGGAGGAGCAGGTAGGGCTGATAGGCAAGGTCAAGAACGCTACATCATCTCTCAAGGACAAGCTCGTCAACAAGATCTACCGCAAGTGACACATGGTTATGACTGTGTGTCTTACATGCCATGTCAGAACGTGTTTGTCTCTGTTTTGTCTCTCTCTGCATCGTTGACTTGTCCTCCTTGTCTTGTGTATTCTTTTCATTCTTTAATGATTAACCAACGTGTCTCACACTACTGTACAAAGATTAAAACCGACTCAATTGCTTTCCTCTGCCTTCTTTCCCGCTGCTCCCGCTCCCGCTCCTTCAGCTCCTGCCACTTCCTCTGCCTGCAGCCATCCCTCGGCAATCTCCACCACGTCTCTCGGGTCGCGCTTCTTCCTCCCCTCCTCATACTCTCCAGGTCGCTCGTCGAGTCTCTTCACCAGCATCTCCACGCCATCTCTGCACGCTCGGGTCAACTTGTCAGACGTCTGATCCTTGACGCGCAGGACTTTGTCTCGGCTGGCAGCCTGCGGCAAGTGAGGAGATGAACAGGAAGGAAGGTGGTTGGGTAGAGGAGGGGAGAAGAGAGGAGGGGAGAAGAGAGGAGGGGAGAAGAGAGGAGGGGAGGGGAGGAAGTCTCAGGAGGAGGGCAGTGGCAAGAAAACAGGAGAACAGGACGGGGAAGGGTAAAGAAGGCCAACAAGTCGAGGGAGGAGGGCGGGGGGGAGCTGACCTGGAGCAGTTGGAGAGCAGCCTCGATGTTTGTGAGATCCGACGAGGAGAACACGCGGAGCAGCTCGTCAACCAGCGCTCTGCTCGCGTTCCCTCCTGCTTGCTTCACAGCAGACAGGAGGCTGCTGATGACGACTTGAATGTCGCTCTCCTCCTCGAACTCTGCTGCTGACGTCAAGAGGGGGTGCAGGAGCAGGAGGGTGTTGACCTTGAAGCTTGAGGAGGAAGGAAGAGAAGATCTTCCCGGAAAGCGAGGAGGAGGAGCTGCCGGCCTTGCAGCAGAGGCCGAGGGAATCTCGCAGCAGCATCGTCACCTGCTCTCTGTCAGTCTTCAAGCAACACGCTGATGTCCTGCCTACCGTCCTCAGTCTGTCAATGGGGACGAGGAGGATCAGAGAGGAGAAGAGCTCTTGGAGCTTGTCCTGCTGGAGGCCAGAGCCTGCCGTGACCTCTTAGCGGAGAAGAGGGGGGTGAGGTTCAAAGGGCGGGAGGTGAGAGTGGAGAGATAGACGAAGCGGAAAGAGGAGGAGGGGGAAGGTTGGGCTCACGAGTCAGCTGAAAGATCGCCTTGCACACCATCCCCAGCAGCCCCTCCTTGAGGACGCATGCTCCTCCTCTCTTGTCCAGCACCTGCAACGTATGTCACCTTCCTTGTTCTCACTGCTCCTGCTCTCCTCTCCCTCCTTCCCCTCCCTCCCTCTCCTCCAGGGCTCAGCTTACGTCCGAGCACAGGTTGGCAACAGCAGCAGCAAGCGCATCGTTGATACGGCCGAGGACGGCACTCTCCGTTGCCACCATCAGGGAGATCATGACGCTCCTCCTCGCGAGCTCCCTGCGCTCTCCTCCTCCTTCCTGGGCCTTGGCGTCGGCCTTCTTCTTGCTCTTCCTCTGCTTCTCCTCCTGCGGTGCAAGGAGGACCGGCAGGCAGGTCAAGTTGCTCCATCCTAGGAGAGAGAGCAGGCGACCCGAGGACTTGCCGGCTCCTCCTGCTCCTGGGAACTGCCGGGGAATGAGAGGAGGGAGGAGGATGAAGAGAGGAGAAAGAGGGGGGGGAGGACGAATGAGAGACATGAGAATGGGAAAGAGAAAAGTGAGGAGGGGAGAAGGGGAGGGGAAAGGGCAAGAGGAAAGCAGGGTTCACAAGGTACCTGAGCACAGTGGCTGTGGAGGCAGAGTTTTGCATAAATGTTGACCATGCTCTTGAGATCCTCCGCTGATATCTTCCCGTCCTCCTCCTCCTCCTCCTCCTCCATCCTCGCCTCAACCAGCTGCAAAGCTCCCTCAAGGCTCTCCAGCATCTCCTCGAGGTGGGAGGGGACCAGCATGAGTTTCTGACGGAGATGATCCGAGTCAAGCACGTACTGCAGCTGCTGCAGGAGGAGGGAGAGAGGGCGGGGCGAGCTCCCCTCCTCCTCCTCCTCCTCCTCCTCCTGCGCGCTGGACTTTCCTCCAGTCTTCCTCCTCTTCCCTCCCGTCTTCCCTCCTCCCCTCCCCTCCTCCTGCGAAACGGCCGACCGCAGCTCAGCACAGGCCTCCCTCACAAACTCCTTCTGCCCCGACCAGTGGAACACGCAGTCCAGCAGCGGCGCCGCCTCCTCCAGGGGCAGCGTGCGGGCCCGGGCAAGACACTCCTGTACCAGCTTCTTGTCCCCGGGCTCCGGCATGAGCGCCGCGAGTTTCCAAAGGGCGCTCGCCATGCCGGAGGAGGAGGAGAAGGACGAGGCGAGGGACGCGAGGCCGGAGGAGGAGATGTTCTCCACGAGGTAGGAGCGGATGTTGAAGCAGGAGGAGGAGTCCAGCCTCGCCCGCAGCGTCTCGAGCATGCTGGACATGCACTGGACGCTGACCTCTGCGATGCTGCCGAAGCTCTCGACGTCTCCGTCCTCCTCGTCCTCTTGATGCTCCTCCTCCTCTTCCTGCTGCTGGCGCTTCGATCGCGACTCGCCGCCTCTCTTGCTCTTCTTGGGGTTGGTCTTGCTGACCTTCTTCTTGCTGCCCGCGTACACCAGCAGCGCGTGATGGAGAGCCACGAGGACGTTGACGCAAGTTTGCTCGGGGGCCTGCGAGCCAGCCTGCTTGAAGAAGACTTGAGCAGCCTGGAGGAGATACTCAGCGACAACCACAGGAACAGAGGGGAAGGATGAGAGGAGGAGGAGGAGGAAGGAGGAGAGAGGAGGGAGGAGGGAGGAGGGAGGAGGGGTACCGCAGAGTTCTGCTTGATGAGAGCAAGGATTCGAGCCAGCTGCTCGGGCGGAGGCTTGTTAATTGGAAGATAGGAAGGAAGAAGAAGCTTGGCGAGCCGTTGAGTGATCTGAAGCCACGATGAGAGGAGTGAAAGTTGTGAAGAGGGAAGGCGCAGTAGGAGGAAGATTTC